ATAAAAAAAGAAGAATAACATGTATTCTCAAGTTCACTATGATAATTTAAGATCTAAGACCGCGCAAACATGTCACTATTGAGTTGAAACACCGACACATGGTATCGGTCAGTCAATTTGTGATCAATTCGTGATCGTGACCATAAAAATTATCTAGGGTCGATTTCAGTCGTTCTTCCTCATAACTCTGTTGGTGTAGTTTATGTGTAAGGAGCACATCCCTGTTAATGTAGTTTGCATAATGTGAACATGCACCAACGTAACGACTGAGATTTGTAAACGCCATACGATGAACAAGTGGGTATGATACTGCTGAGAAATGGAAAGTTGACAATTGGAACGTTGAAATCATCAAGTGTGTCATAAATTCTAGTTTGAAGACTTTCATCTGTGTCAATATCGAGGAAAAAATTTAAAAAAATAAACAGGCCTTCTGCTCTCTGTAGTATCCTTAATCTCAAGTTCACCATGATAAATGAAATGTAAGCATTCATTGAAATGTGTGTTCTTGAGTGAATTAAAGAACATCTTATATATACCTGAAAGTAAAATAAGATGTTTTCCTTTTTCCTTTGAGAAGGTTCTGTATGAATTCTGCTTTAAATGAGTACGTACGAACAACAAGTCTGCCAGAGATTCAGTTACAGACCCTTATACTCTATACTGGCAATAAAACATTCTCTCAACAAACCGATACCAACTTATGGCAAAGCTATTTCCCATCTTGAATATTATAGGCTGTCATAAAAATAAATTGCATAAAATATGTAATTTAAGACATCTACTATTCAAACCAACAAATACCAAGAGCTGTGTACCAACAGAAATTATAACCAACAAATACCAAGAGCTGTATACCAACAGAAATTGTAACCAACAAATACCAAGAGCTGTATACCAACAGAAATTGTAACCAACAAATACCAAGAGCTGTGTACCCACAGAAATTGTAACCAACAAATACCAAGAGCTTATTTATTAATTAAAGTTATTCAAATGATATGACATGTCCTTTAATTCAATGCTAATACTGATTTAATGTTTTTCTCAAGTTTGTGCTTGCTTGTTCATGCTGTTTCCTACATTGTTACTTTGTGATATATGGTACCGACTTCAAATAAAACATAAATAAATGCTATTTGCGTAATGCCGTGTAGCGTTAATAATGCAGTAGACTAGCCTGTGATTGTTGTATGCTTTTAATTTGCTGGTTGATATTTTCATTTGTAATCTTGAAATAAAAAAAATCACAAATATTCCTTTAGATATAGAAATACAGTTTGGAATGAATACTCCAGAGTTTTTGAGAAGAAAACAATTTTAACCAATGTTCTCAACTTCTTGTTACCTGGAGTGGTAGTTCATGCCAATGCAATGCCTGCAAATAATCAATACTTTAATTTATAGTGCTTTTCTGCTAATGTGTCATAACTGTTCATGTGTTTTAAACTGTTTTATATGCTTTTCATCATGATTGCTTATTGTACTTTTAATATTTCGTCATAGTTTAACATAAAAAAGAGAGGCGAAAGATACTCATAAGTCGAAATTAAACTGACAAAACAAAGGCTAAAAAAGAAAAAGACAAACAGACAAACAACAGTACACAAAGCACAACATAGAAAACTAAAGAGTGAGCAACACTAACCCCACCAAAAACTGGGGGTGCTCCGGAAGGGTAAGCATATCCTGCTCCACATGTGGCACCCGTTGTGTTGCTCATTTAATAACCCGGTGATAAAAGTAGACGGGATTGTAGTTACGACTATTGGAACATATCTGTCGTCATCTGTGAAACAGATATTCCATACGGGTCAACCAACTCGTGATAGCGTCCGTAAAATTTAAGAAGGGATGATTGCAACTTCAACACTTGGAACTCTTGGTTTAATAGCTTCCGTGTGAGCAGCAACCCTCTTTCAGGAAAATCAAGATAGGAAATACAAGCCCTGGAATATCGTATCTGGGAGATATATACTCCGTATGCAGGCGCTGCTGGAATGTTGCTACATAGAAATGGAAAGTTCACAATTGGGAAGTGAAATCATCTCTTTTGTCGTAAAGTTTTGTTTTCAACCGACCCTCATTGTCAATTTCTAGATGTCAGTCAAGATACGAGGCAGACTTTGCTGTATCAGTTGTATCCTTTATCTCAAGTTCGATGTGATAGATACGTTCAACATAGTCACCAAATTGTGAATCATTTAGTGAGAGAACATTATTTACATAGTGGAAAGTGAAGTTAAAGGATACTGCTAACTTCTTTTGTATTTTCCTAAGAAGTTTCTGTATGAAATAAGCCGCATATAAATAAAGGAACAAGTCGGCAATAAGAGAAGTACGGTTGGTTCCCATGGGAATGCCGATTGTTTGTTGAAAAACACGTCCTCCAAACGTAACTGTAGCTTTTGTATTTTTTGTATGTTTGCTTTCTTTTAAACGTGCTTTTTTGAATGTTTTGTTTGTATAATAAGACGATATAAAAGCTCAATAGAGGTTATGGTTTCTGTAAACAAAATTCATATTCGTCTTTGAATAAAGCTTTTGAACTTTAAACATTTTCCATTTATAAATGCGGTCGTTACTCGGGGCCACTTCAAGTTCCTCTAATGGTAGGATGAGCAGCTGAGACAATCAGTACACCTCTCTTTTGATATATTTTGAATAGCAAAAATGCATACCCGTCATATATATCTTTTGACAAAAGAAATTACTGATAGCTATCATATGGCATGATTCGCCGAATTTCATGGAGAGATTGCTAGATTTAATGAATATCCAGCGGCTCATCCCTACCTTCTTCTTCTTCAGGATGTCCACCCTATTTGCAGGGTCACCGCATTTAAAAATTGTATATTTTTTAAGAATGCGTTATTAAAAATTTTTGTTAAATTTTTTTTTTTTTATGTTTTAGTTTAAATTTAAATAATAATAGTAACAGAGTTAGAATAGGACAAAATTAAAAAAAAACAGGAACTTGTATTTACACTATACATACTCAGACTGACGTGAACTTACAAAATTTTACATTTATTTTAAAATGGATAAAATACTAGCTTATCAGAAGCTAAATGTAGTTTGTTTGTAAAATTCTCTTAGAAAAAAGAAAATGTTATGAATTACGATTCTGTATAAATAATGGGTAAAATTATGTACTTGTGTGGTTTCATATATAGTGAGAGACCCATATTCGCCATATAATTCGTTCATTTCCACTTACATCCGACCTACATTCGAATATTTGGAACTTTTTATGAAGGTTTCAGAAATTTAACTATATGAAAAAAATGTTTGATAAAGAAATTATCTTCAAAACATTGGTTAATTGTTCTTAAAACGAACGCACACTCAAGAGGAAATCAAGTTGTTCGTGTACCATGGGGACACATTTTCGCCGCAATGTATGATATGACAATCCTCATCATCCTGGTATATTATAAAAACGAATGTTTGCAATTACATGAATTAGCTTGAGAGATCATTCCTATACGATTTTTCTCACAAATATTTACTTTAAGACTGCGCATGATTGCCATATAAATCTTACATAATTGCCAAAATCATTTAAAAACACCTGCGTATTTCTCAATATGTGCGAATAACCTTGGAAATGGGGTAAAGAGGAATATCAACAGTTGTAACATTACAAACAGCCTTTACCATCTATTTAGGCAAGTATTGGGTAAAGGCACACAAATTTTACAGAAAAAATAGCAAAACGGCGAAAATGTGTCCAAGGCGAATATGCGCCACCCACTCTATAGTTTATATGTTCTTTTAAAAATCTAAAATGGTAAAAAACTCTCTAAATATTAGTTTTAAAAACAGTAGTGGTCATTATCACAATTTAAGATCTACAAGGTTATTTACAAGGGTCATTAATATTCATATACTCTAGTTATAGTTTTAACTTAGAAGTAATTTTCTATATCACTTAATATTTAATTAAGTTTATACATCATAAGTATAGTATAATATTTGTTACATTCCCATGACTGACAGCCACCCGCAATTGTTAAGCACCAAGAACTTTAAAAATGATTGTTCATTTGTTTTCCAGAAGTTGGGCTCTTTTAGCATTCAATACATAGATCCAGTCTTTGCAAATTCGTTCTATATCTCTCAGCTGAGGCACTGATATAAGGTTGTTCCGAGAAGATCCGAGAACAGTCAACTAAGAATTCAAGAAGGTCCTCATCAGAATTAATTATACTGCAATAAGGGATCTGATTATCCTCCAGTAGGGATTTGAGTCTATTGTGATGAATTTTTCTCACACTATTCAGACTTTCACACGTAACTAGGAAGTGTTTATATCTAGCTCTACCACTCATTACATTGTAAATGCACACCAACCCTTCCCGCAATTTTACATGATTTTGATTATTGCTGATGATTGCTAAGCGTTGCGTCACTCGGCGGAAAAGGAAATATCATGAATAGTTTTAAAAAAAAATCGTAAGGGGTTCTCGCCTGCTGCTGCTGTCAGTGTAAAAGTGTAATTCGAGTTGACTTAAATAGTGTGTCCATGTATCAGTACAATACAGAATTTACCTCTTTTAAAATCATAAAAAAAGCAGACTGAACTTGGCCTAAATGTGTTCCTAAATGTTGACGCCACCAACGCCGACGACGGTATCTAGGATCTCTATGTCTCGCTCGCTTTCGCGACATAAATGTATCAGGCTCGACAAAAAATGAAACTGGTAAAATCACACCGCGAAAATTAAACTGAACAGCCTATAAGTTGAAGTGCTGTAATAATAATCGAAACCGGATTTATACTTTTCCGTCATTGACCACGCTTTTACCATATAATTTTTTTCTTTTTCAAGATTTCTTGACTGGTTACAGAATATAGATTAATAGTCCGAATATATGCACCTATGATTTTGTATGAATAAAATCAATTTGATTTACAAATTTAACTTGTTTACATAAAGATATTGAAGATGGTTAAATCTTAGTCACATGATCAGAATACGTCATTTCCAAAACAAAAATGGTACCTGTTTGTTGACAAACATAAGCAGCATATTTACGGGGTCAAAGCAAGCAAAATGGATAATCCTATAACATCCAATGGGGATAGTTTCGATAGACACAGTGAACAGATATTGAAAAACATTCTTAGTCCAATTGAACCTTTCGTAATGCAAATCCAAAGCCTGCTTGTATGGGAGAGTCCAAGAAGAAGTTCAGTGTTATTTATTATTATTCATACAATATTTTGGTAAGGATTGACTTATAGATAGCATTTTACACGAACTTATATGTGCTTCTAAATATAACTTAGCCAATGATTGCAAATAAATTTGCAATTTGGTGTTTCTATCTACATGATCTATAGAAATTTTGTTGAGAGGTCAAACTGGACAAATTTCAAATCTGAGTCTGTTTAATAGCCACATTCACATTTGGCCTTGTTCGTGTTTGTTCTTATACCTGTTCAACCTTGGACAAGTTTGCTAATATTCTTGTTTGCCCTTACCCAGAAAAATTCAGTTCCTCCCTGTGATCGACACTCCCACTTGAAGGTTAATTAATACAGACAATTGTACTGAAATATTTTGGTTAGTTTGCCCTCATTTTTTCTTGTACATTTTGAAATTGTTTTATGATATGATTTGAGTTATTATGACCTGAAATTACAAGTTCTGACAAAGGGTCCTGCTCAAAACATAAACATATTTGTCTCATTGGCACTCATACCACATCATCTTATTTCTATTGGCACATTAGTTTGACAGCAGTCCTTTGAGGAGAGTGTCATTCTTAACAGATAAAATTCATTGATTATCTTTTCAATTAGTTTAGATACATATATTTTACTTTCTTATAATGAATTGTTCCTGCACTGTCTAAATTGATTTCTAGCTGACTAGTTTACTAAATACAAAGTTGTTATTTCAATAATTAATATAAATTGCCCAAGAAATATTTGTATTACCTACATTAAAATGGTATGCAAACAAAAATATAAAAGCCAGCTGAGTATTTTATGAATGCGGGTCCAATTGCCCTAGTACCTGTTCGCCCTAATACCTGTTTGCCCTGGATCCGTTCACCCTAATTCCTGTTCGCATTGAGTCCGTTTGCCCTGATTTTTATTTTATATTATTTTGTTGTCTTGTTTAATATGAATTATGTTAAAGTTTGTTGAAATTTTCGCCGAATAATTATGTTGTATTAATATTGCTGCTACCAGACAATTTTTTTTCTTTGATTTGCACTGAAGTGTTCAGGAACTGAAGACCAGTTATCTATATGTATTTATCTTTTTTGAAACATTGTAACAATTTCAAATCTTAAGGCACATTCCGGTATTTTCTCTATTTTTGGGGTATGAAAATCACCACAAAAATCCATACTATTGGACAATAATTAAAATTTGACCTTATAAATGAATAATAAATAGTAAGTTTACCTAATTTAGTTAAATTTTTACCAATACAACGTTGATATCTCCACATTTTCTTCCATTAATTTACCATTTTGCTTACATGTACATTGTGCATGTACATGTACACCATGACATGACAGTGACAATAAATACTTGTTTAAATAAAAAAAACATACATGTACAATATACATGTTAGTATTTATATGATATAATTATGTACATGAAGTTTTTAATAAAATCTATGGGGAATATATTCAATGGGTAGCAAATACTCTATGAACATGTTATGGGAGCAAATATATATATATAAACATGTACATAGACATAACAGATAAATGTAAAAATGTACATGTACAATACAACAAAATTCAGACTAGATAATTTGATGGTGAATTCTTGTACATTGTGTAAAGTAGATTCAACATACAGCTGTTCATTGGCAGCTTATAATTACAACTTGTACCATTTTATATTGCATACATTTAAACATTTTACTACTTTATAATTTCTGAAAGTGCATTAAACAAATGCTTATACATGTAGATGTACCAATGTAATTAATAAGGAGTAAGCTTGTATTTTTATATTTTCATGTACTTGAAAGGTATAATTGATCAGATCAGATAAAACATGTTCATACAATTTTGTAGGTTTTTTACAGTATTTGGTGGTAGAATCTATTTTCTTATCAGTACAGGTTTGATAGTATCATATTTTATACGGACTTGGAAGAGAAGGATATGGCCAGAGATTAGAGGTAAAGTGGTAAACCCATATTCAGATATAAAGCAGACATGTTATATAATTAAATCATTGTAACCATTAATTTACATATAGAGCTGAAACTTTATGAATACCAAATTATATTGTTAAATTTTCAATTCAAAGGCCACATTTTATTTTTATAGACCTGCCATAAAGTGGTCTGGGCCATATATTACCATTATCCGTCATTCCGTAAGCAAACAGTTATACATTTTTTTTTCTAAACGCCTTCACATATTGAGCTGATTTTTAGTATGTGAGTCTACTATGATGAGTTACAGATTGAGTTTACGTTTGGTTCTGCTCCATTGATTTTTGCAGAAATTATGGACTTTGGACTTTGAAAATTTTGTAAAAATAACATTTTTACAGACTTTACTTCTATATGCCTTCATATATTGAGCTGAATTTTAGTATGTGAGGCTACTATGATGAGTTACAGGTTAGGTTTATGTTTAGTTCCACTGCGCTGACTTTTGTCGGCAAAAATCAGTGGAGCAGAACCAAACATAAACCCAACCTGTAACTCAAAATTACGGATTAAATTATTATCCTGACTACACACAGTCATCTTTAAATCATTATTACTAGGGATGTCAACCCAGGGAAGAATTACTAATCTAGTACTCATTGGTTACTAATCTAGTACTCCTTGGTTACTAATCTAGTACTCCTTGGTTTTACTGAGCAATACTTGAGTACTCTCTCAAAAAAATATTTTCAAAATTGAAAAACACTGTTAAGCACATTTTACTTATTGTGGATCATTGTCTAATGTTTTTTAAACCCTCTACATTATCATCAGGGACTAGATATGATATTCAAGATCTAACTCTTCTTCCAAAATAATTTACCTGAACCAGTAAATGATAGACACTTGTATAAGTATTTCCCCTGACTGTTGGAGATTCACAATTGTAAATATAAGCAATAATTTTATATCCCCACTAGTCTTGATTCTAGGAGTGGGGGCTTTATCGCAATATAAGCTTGTCTGTCCTTCCATACATGTATGTATGTTTGTCGGTCTGTCCATTGTTTAACAAATACTTTTGTCACACTTTTCTCTGTTATTACAAAACAAAATGGCTGTTTGGTCCACAGCTTGACAATTATAAGTTGTAACCTGTAAGCATGTTTGGGATCTGTCAGTTAATCACATCCTGTTTGCCTATACTTTGATGTACAAGTGGGGATATGCCTACCAAGACAACATTTAGATTTGCATAATATTTTCCACACTGTCTCATTTTAATTAACACATATTAACAATGTAACCTTTACTTATCAAAATTGTGTAGGTGTATAATACAATGAACTGCAATTGGCATAGCCTCTTACTAGATATTAAGACATGAACTCAATTAATCTCCTGTATTTTTTATTCAGTTCCACCAAAAGAGCCAGAGGATCCAGACAGGTTTGTATACTCGGTTGAATTAGAGATTTTACAAATGTAAAAATAAAAAAAAAAGGAAAGACTTTTTATTTGAAATTTTATTACAATAAGTACAATGACTGTGAGAATGGAATATTTGTAGTTCAGAGTTTGAATTACAGCATCCATAATATGTAATAAAAAACCAGTTACATATGTAAATACCAGTTTATACTGAATTTTGTAACTGGATGACCACAAAAAGATACACATACACTACAAACAAAGAAAAAGATCTTCACAGAAGCTAATGCGGAACATTAAACTACTGTGTGTCCAAGTCTCATTTAAAACTGTTTTTGAAAAAAATTAACCATTTAAAGTGTGTCTGCATATAGGTTAACAAATTGTACAGCAGAGGCAAAAACATTCAACTTTTAATCAGGAGCCTGCAATTGTTTGTCCAAGATTGCTCTGACATCTAATATCCTTTATTAGGATTTGTTGGGGTAGTTGAACATCATTGCATAGTTTATATAGAAAACATGGAAATCACCAACCCAAACTTTTATGAATGTACAATACCCCTGTAAAACAACCTAAAGCTTTATTTCTATAAATCCATTGAAGTTAATTTACATGTAGCTAAAGAATAAACCTAATATAAAAAAACAAATGAAATCAATGAATTGTATAATATAGGTCAGAGTTTATACCTACTTTTTATTGGAAGCTGGTATATACTCTCAATGTTGCATTCTTTACCTTTATGTTTTCTTTTAATAGGGAAAGTTTTGCCTGAGCTTTCAGCCTGTCTGTTTCAATATGAATAATTTGATCAGTAGTCAAAAATATATATACAGTCGAACCTGTAACATGTTTATGGTGGCCGGTAATTAGCACCTTTGTTGATCGTTCAAGTGGAACGTTAGTGTGTTGAACATATTTCACATGAGATGAAAACAAAACGAATCCAAATGACCCAAGCAGAGATTAAATGAATCGTTTGAATTAAAACTCATTAATTACAATAAATAAAAGAATTAAGACAATTATGATCAATTCATGAAAATTTAATGTAAAGCAAACGACCTCATCAGAAACCGTTCAGAACTTATTTCCTTCCGCAAGTGATTTCATAATTTAAAGTGACTGACCTTTGGATGAGTTGAATACTTTGTTCAAGTCCCTTCAACTTCGACACAACAAGGTTTGACTGTATGGTTAAAATAATCTGATAACCTCTTTATATGTTGTCATGTCCAGGATGCCTTGGTGGCTGAGTGTTCTAAGTAGTCGAACAACTGTATCACTAGCATGTCAACATTGAGGTTTTCAGTCCGAATCCACCATGTGGCAGGTGTGCTCGACTCCAATCTTAATTGACTAGGATTATCAGTTTTCCTACCTTAAGTCTGGGTTCTATCAAGCATGCTGTATGCTTGGTTTTATTTGTTATTGTATATGTTAAAAGTTTCTATATCCGTAGAGAAACTCATCAAATGTTTGTCAATATGCTGAATCAACATAGAATTTAACTTTGTGCTGACTGTGCGGTATGGGCTTTGCTCATTGTTGAAGGCCGAACGGTGACCTATAGTTGTTAATTTCTGTGTCATTTGGTCTCTTGTGGAGAGTTGTCTCATTGGCAATCATACCACATCTTCTTATTTATATTTACTTACTTTCTCAACTATTTTTTGTTTTTGTTTTATATTTTTTAGCTGGACACCTGTTCATCCTCGTTTACTGAGTGTGCCAGAAATATGTAAATATCTTGCTCAAATATGGTGCTCTTTTGCTAAAGTTGTAAAGAGTTGTCTGTCTTTTAGAAGAAATTACAGATTTTTGGTAAGCTGTTTCATTTTATATTATAACTTTGAACCTAATAGTTGACATAGCCTTATTTTCCAGCCAAAGTAAAAATGTTCCAGTTGTCATCAAAAATATATACATGTATTCATAATTCTGTTTAAAATCCTAGCTCCATATTAATGAAATAGTTTAACATATAATATGCCAGAAAAAAATTTTCTTCTTGAATAATTCACAATAATGCTATAAATTGATTTTTTTCCCAAAAATTTTCCACTTTTTATACTACCGCAAAAATTTTTTGGGATCGTATAATGCGTCGTCGTCTGTGTTGTCGTCCGAAGACACATTGGTTTCCGGACAATAACTTTAGTCTAAGTGAATGGATCTCTATGAAATTTTTTAAGAAGGTTCAATACCATAAAAGGAAGGTTGGGATTGATTTTGGGGATGATGGTTTCAACCATATAGGAACTAGGGGCCCATAGGGGCTCTCTGACATTGTACCCCAAGGTTACATATAACAAAGGGAAGGCTGGGATTGAGTTTGGGGTTAATTGCCCCAATTATGTAGGAATTAGGGGCCAAAAAAGGGCCAAAAACAAGCATTTTTCTAGTTTCCAGACAATAACTTGTGTGTAAGTGTATGGATCTCTCTGAAATTGTACTACAAGGTTCCATACTACAAAGGAAAGGCTTGGATTGAGTTCGCTCAGCGAAGCATTTTATTACATAGATTATTTTGATTTATATATAAAAGCAACAAATACTGATATGGCAGGAGATACACACCAAACAGGGTGTGTAAATTATTATATATAACAGATTAACTAAGTATTGTGCAACAGCATAGTATTGCGCAATAGCACAGTATTGCACAATAGCACAGTATTGCACAATAGCAAGAAATCTTCAATTGAAAATAAATACAAATCTTTTAACCAATTTCAATGTGATTTATTTAAAGTCTTTAATTTTTGGGGGTTCTAACCTTGTATTACTATTTTGGATATTGGGCCCCATTTTTAAATTGGTCTACATTGAGGTCCAAAGGGTCCAAAATTAAAATTAGTTTGATTTCATCAAAAACTGAATTATTGCGGCTCTATGGTATGCTGAATCTTATTGTGCATTTAGATTTTTTATTTTGGGCCCTGTTTTCAAATTAGTCTATCTTAAGGTTTGAAGGGTCCAAAATTAAACTTTGTTTGATTTCAACTAAAATTAAATTTTTGGCGGTTTTTTTTATATGCTGAATCTAACCATGTTGTTAGGTTTTGGATATCAGACCATACTAGGCAAATTAAATATCCCATTTCAAATTTTTAAGATCTTTGACCACATTTATTTTGTGTCAGAAACCTATATTATTTCAAAAATTTGATCACAATCCAAATTCAGACAGTATCAAGCTTGAATATTGTGTCCAAACCAGGGCTTCCAAAACGGTCATATATTCCGGACTTGACCGAAACTTTCATAAAAAGTCCGGCTGCTCTCAGCCTCAAACGGTCAAATAGAATTGGTTTGCCACTTTTTTATTATTCAAGGCATTTTCATAAAACGGTCATTTCAATTTTTACCAACTATCGATCGATAAACATGTCCGTTTGGCGCTTTGGGCATGTCCATTTGAGCATTTTAGTTTATAATTGTGGCAATCTATTTCACAAAGATATTTCGGTCATAATTGGGTTTAATAAAACAGATGCAGCATATTTCAGATACTTTGAAGTGTCTCAGTTAGTCTAATCCTCTGGGTACATAAATGTACCGCTTGGTCTTTAGCTTGTGTACATCAATAAAAAGTAGATAAAACACGTTTTCTTTTATTTAAATAACAACAAGCTGTCAAACAATTATCCCTTCAATAAGTTTTATTGAAGCCATAAATCATTCACTGATTACAGGTTTGTAACCTTTGATGAGGTGTCCTTAGCTTGTCTTTATCAATAGAATTAATGATGCATAACACTGTACATAAAGGTGATCAGGTAAACGAGGTCAAACATGTAAGCGTGTATGGAACAACATCCTATTTAATTACGCTTTATAGATATTATTTTAAATGAGCATTCAGTTTAAAAAAGTATCCTGATATTTAAAAGTTATTCTTTAAATAAGGATATTTATAAATGAATAAGTATGATATATATTATTTTATTTAACACTGTACATCGTGTTAAATACTGGGGTACTCTGAAGGGGAAAATTTATTGAAATATATAGGAAAAACACCGAGAATAGCTGAGTTGTCCAATAAATAAGGGGGGGGCGTTCTCTATTCTTGTTTTCATATTAAATGTTTTTATAATTGAAATCATAAAGAAGAATATTCAATCATGACAATCTCCGACTGTTATAAAGACTTTGTCTCAAATTGAACTTTACAAATCTGCCATCATGGGCAAACGTAAACGTGACGATTCCGATCAAAATTCGAAATCTGCTAAAAATGCTAGAAGCTTTATTCATAAATGGTTACAACTGTTTTTATGGTTAAGATTTGACAGTATGCTAAATGCCATGTTTTGTGACATTTGTCAAAAACATAAACTTAAAAATAACTTTTCGAAAGTCAGCCGTTGTAGAGCATGCTAATAGCAATGACCACGTTCAAGCTCTTAAATTAGAGACAGCTTCCAAAAGTAATCCAATTGTATCAGTATTTGAGAAAGTTCATGAAAAGACTGACAACGCAATGTGCACATTGTTCCGTAATGCTTACTTTATTGCTAAAGAAAACTTACCAATTAATGGACAAATTTCAGTCAATAAATGATTTAACTAAGTTAAATGGTGCCGTGATCACTTCTAAATTACATCAAGAGAACAATGCCTGCTCCGAATTTATTCAGACAATTTCCGATATTATAGAGAAAGAGGTGATATCCGACATAAAGTTAAGTCCCGCCGTGGGAATTATGATCGACGAGTCAACTGATCTGGCTACGCAAAAACATTTAATTTTGTACTTATCATACCTCAAAGCTGGTGAACTGAAAATTAGTTTTTAAAAATTATTTATCAACTGAGTATGTTTTTATTTATTCTTCTTATTTTCTAAATCAGGTTGGGAAATATTGTACAAAGAAAAATGTTATTACTGTTCAGTAGATTTTACACGGTTTAAAACAATATCCCTCATTGGGCCTCCTCAATGTGATCTATAAATACCGCATCAGTTGTAAAAGTCACGTGGTCAGGTAATCAATACACAAAAAGAAAAAAGTATCACGTGTATTGATGATCAAGTTGTACTGCAATTAAAGCCAACATCAACAGTTTCAAATAAGATACCCTTAATTTACAAAGTGTTAAGTACTCACAGAGAGAAGATAGATTATATAAACAGAAACAAAAACATGAGAACAGTCAGGTACTGAAGCTGATTGATGCAATGATGGTTACTGTATTACGATACATAGAAAAATGACACAATACCGTCATTACCGAGGATAATATTTTATTTATTTTTAGAATGAAGAAAACAAAACAGTTATAAATAATTTTATTGCATATAACACTACTAATTATTTAGACACATATATCAATTTATGCATCCTCTCAGTTACATTTAAGTATCCAGCTGATCATTGACCGTCAAAAATATTTCTTTGAAAAATGTCCGGCTGTCGTCAGGAAATTTTGGAAGCCCTGGTCCAAACTTGCCCCAACTGTTCAGGGTTCGACCTCTGCGGTCTTATTAGGCTGCGCTGGGCGAAGCATTTTATTTTAACTTCTGTGGATTCATTTATTTTTACAGATTGATTAAAAATTATATATTCATGGATATTTAAATTTGATTTCATGGTTTAATCTAAATCAATAAAATTAGTTTAGCCAAAGTCTGCATAAAAGTCTTATTTAAAACTGATTCTTCTTTGAACTTTTGAATTCTTGGTTTACCTATACCCATGAAAGGCAAAAAAAAATAATAATAAGGAATGCACAGAAATCAAGAATTGTGGCTGGAATTAGGGTACCGTAATTGGTTAGAGAGGCTTTTGTACACTGTTATTATTCATCCAGTTTTCAAATGTGTCTGCCAATTTACAAGAGAAGCCAATGCTACTCAAAATAGATGGGTGGGGGTGAATAAATTGAAAAATCTTGTAAAGGTCATATAGCTGCTAAACTTTGGAAAATAAAACATATTATAGAAAAAAGGTTGATGAACCTAACGATAGCATATAAGGCAACAACTCCCAAAAATGATGAAAAATTATGTGATTACAGCATACCAAACTTTTGGTACTTGTCAGAGGAGGGTAGACAGCTTGGTGCTGTGTGCAAAGTTATTCAGGTCATGTTGTATGATTTCAGTTTCAGTTTGGCAATTTTAAATATTGAAAATATCGATTTGTTCATTATTTTATATTAAATGTATTCTATTGCATTCATAAAAAATATAGCAAATTTTCTCGTAGAAAGATTTATTGATTATCAAAAATGACTTTTACATAAAATATTTAATGTTTTTTACTTCTTTTTGGTAAATAATTTATATCATTAAAGATTATCATATGTCCCATATTGGCGGGAATTTGTATTCGATCTCTGTAAAAATACAAGGCACAAATTTTTGTTTATATTTCGTTAGTTTCCATGTAAAAATCATTGACATTTATAGCAGATAAAGAATATTGTGCAAACAACCTTGAACATAAAAGGTCTCAGTCCGATGCTGCATAGTAAGTTGATAAAATTTTGTCCCGAATAAAAACTGAAAATCAATTAAATGAATTCAATAAATGAGTATTCAATTAATGAACATGCCCACAGGAATTGATAAAGGGATAAATATGTATATTCCCAGCAAATAATGACAAATACCATATTCGTTTATTATATATACATGTAGGAATATTGTATAATAATTACAACTGTATATTACTGCTTATGTTTATAATCTCATTCAACAAATTTTGAGTGTCCAGGTGATTTTCACACCATGACGTGCTAGTAACAAATGACACATAATCACTGCGACTGATCGATGATATAAGACGAATCTGCATGCCATGTGCAGAGTGTCGTCCCTCCTCTATGTACTTACATATCTTTAAAAAAAAAGAATGGGGTTTTGCATTCCTTGAAATTGATAAGTATATATATAATAAGGATCTTTTTACAACTACAAACAATCCCATGCATTTTAACCACAATACTATGAGATAAAATTTATGCTAATTTTCTTGTTACAGTTTTGTGTTGTAAGCTGTTTTGTCTTCATATCACTGGCTATATTGGGCCATTATATACCAGGATTAATGTTGTCTTATGTAACTGGTAAGTTGGAATAATTCTGTCAGAAATTTCCCCCCTTTTGACTATATTGATGTAGCTGTAAAAGAACTTTTATCTGTAGGTGGCAATGTACCATTTTTGTGGTTTCTCTCCTCATGAATTCCTAGATATTAAATCTTTAAAAAATATGTTTTTTTATGTGTGAATTATAGCTATTTTGTTAAGTGTAAATATCTGCAAAAACTTAATAATTGGTTCTGTTCAAAAACTTAAGTAATTTCATTTTTTTCCGGATATATATAATAATCATGTTTTTTTTTATATGAAGTATTATGTTTTGTACCAAAAGTGGAAGTATACAATGTATAATATGTCAACAAAAAATCACATAGAGATTAATATATGGCTTTATCCATATCGGCCCAGGTTTCATCTGGATACCCTCATATTGACACAAGACATAAGTCGAGGGCTGATATGGGTCAAGTACAATTGTTTCAAATGAACTATGTGGGGTAAAAATCATCATTTCTAATTTGAAGTGGATGACGTAAAAATTCCTCAAACCTGTATTTTGTACTGAAGACATAAATATAACTCTACAGAAACATATTGTCAACGTGATAAACAAGGCGATTACCGCCAGTGACTGTAAATCACATATGACTGCTCAAATAGCACAGTTGCAACATTAATAAACAGATCACCTACTGTCATGTCTTTGTGTGTCAGATATTAGTTGTAAACAGACGACACCAGAAAATACCTGAAGTAAATTGCGCGAGAAGCACTGTAACATGCTATTTGCATGAGAGGCCCCTGATATAGGTGATCAGCCCTGGTGTGAATTTATGGCTAGTTTACTTCTGCTCGTTACACATATGCAAACACTATCATTAGTTTTATATACATGAAAACAATGATTTGTCTATATATATTTATTCTGTTTTATCAATGGAAAGAATGGATGTGGTGTGTAAATTCAAATCAAGAAGACCCTATAAGTACTTAACAAAACCCAGAGCAAAGGAATAGCACTTCAGATGAAGATTAGTAACGATAAAACCTTCAGCATGGAGTAAAAGCACACACTTCACTACAGCATGACCATTATTTACTAATTTTGTTTTTTTATTATGACAATGGTAATAGCAGGAAATTCACAATTTGAATAGGACACAAATCCTTTACTAGTTAAACATATTGCATATTAAATATGTATATAATATTCTAAGTTAATTTGAAAAACCATCTAGTTTAATCTTTTCTTTGTAACCTTTCCAAAAGACTAGATAAAGATTATTTTTTGTGATCTACACTTCAATGTGACAAATTATCCTTGACTGAATCAAATAGGAAGAAGTAAAAATAGATAATATTGTCCATTCTAAAATGTTCATTGTTTGACACAATTTTAGTCTACCTGTCCATGAGGAGTTCTAAGTCTTTGCTGTTGCTATTTGTCCTTCATCCATTATCTCCATGTGGCTTAATCTCTTTTGTAGAAATCAGTAGTTTACCTTTTCTTACTAGGGTGCATTTATTACCCTTTCTTACTAGGGTGCAACTAAATGCTATCTTACATATCTATAAATAGCCTTCTGTCCCAAGTCAGGAGCCTCTAGCCTTTGTCAGTCTTGTATTATTTTTAATTTTAGTTTCTTGTGTACAATTTGGAGTTTAGTATGGCGTTCATTATCACTGAACTAGTATACATATTTGTTTAGGGGCCAGCTGAAGGACGCCTCCAGGTGCGGGAATTTCTCGCTGCATTGAAGACCTGTTGGTGACCTTCTGCTGTTGTCTGTTCTATGGTCGGGTTGTTGTCTCTTTGACACATTCCCCATTTCCATTCTCAATTTTATTTTAAATGATAAACAATAAGTATGACCAAACGGCCATTCGATTCTTTGGTCCATTTTTTGGGTAAAGATTGCATGAAATGCAATCAAAACCCTATGGTACTGACTTGATATCTATATCTTCCAAGGTTGATCACTACCTTTGATAGTTCAAACAAAATAGTGCAGTGAAGTGATCATTGTTTAGATCCTATCCTGTCAATGTTGTGCAATTTATTGATGATATGTTATACTCTGATATTTAAGTTACAAAATGATGTGTATTTGTATAACCATACTTGTCAAGAAAACATTTGTTATTAAAAATTACATAAGTAATGCATGGTGTATAAATCTGTTATGAAAATAGATAAACTACAAATGTACAATCATGAACTAAGGAAGATAACTCCAACTAAAATTTTTAACTTGCTTTGCCAAATAAAAATCAATGTTTTATTTAAAAATTCACGAAATTGCAAAAGGAGAGCAATCTTTACCCTTCAGTGCTCACAAGCTCTTTGATTATTTTTCACTAGACAAATGTGACATGTTTTAATTTATAATAATTTATTATATTCAATTTCAGTGATTAGTTTAATGTTGTGGCCATGTGTTTTATATCATAACCTTCTACAAAGATTCTACCTCAAGTTTGAACCATTGTTCATGAAACTAGACTACTCGCTTAAACTGAAGTCTAAGTGGTCATTTAAAGGTGAGAATTAAGTCTTTTTTTAGCTCACCTGGCCTAATGGGACAGTATGAGCTTTGACCTCCACTTAGTATCTGTTGTCAGTCATCCTTCAAAATCTTTTTACAGAAATTTTGGTCTGCATGATATTACAAGGTTTTCTTTAAATGTCATGTTTAATGACCTATTGTCAAAAAGAACTTAGCTGCTATGTATTACCCTGGTTAATAGGGGGGTAGAGTGGTACACTGTAAAAATAATTAAAAAATCTAAAACATCTTTTAATGGACCAATTGCTATTTAAAGTTAAGAAATTTATACATTAATGGTCCCCTTGAAAAATAACTTCATGAATTATTATTGATTTTATTGCTGTTATAATTATTTTTATTTAATATACTTGTTAAAATATATCAGAACTTTGATTTCATGGCCATCTGTAACTCCATTGATCTTTAGAACACATTTAAAGGTTAATGTACTGAATTCAGGCTTGTATAGTCCACAGTTTTATTTTCCAAAATTGAACCTGGCAGACAGTGGTGGGAATTATAGAGTATGATAAGCAAGAAATAAGAGAAAAATTTGATTTCGCAAGGTTTGTTTACGTTCTGCCATGTTTGTTATTGAAATTATAGGGGGTTCTTATCATTTTCAAAACTAATAATTTACCTAATCCATATAAATATGCAATTTTTATTCAATATCAAATATAAACTGATAAATTTCAAAATTATATGCTTCACTACAAATTTCTTGTTTCTGTTCACTGCGTTGCATAAAATAAACTGGAATCTGCTTAAATTTAACGGAATGAAAAACGTGTACGAGTCAGCCAGGCACCCGATTATGCATAAATATGTATAAACTACAAAACGTAATCAGTTATTTGTTCTGTTTTGGTGTTTCACACTGACGCATGTGTTTTGTTTTAGCTTAAGATCATTCAAACATTAATGTGATAGATATGTTAAACATTATTTTACTGAAGGATGGAACTGTTTAACTTTTATAGTCGTATTTTAGTGATATCTATGGATTTTCTGTACCCTCTCACTGTACTTGTTTTCATTTACACCTGCTATTAGAACTTCTGGTTTAAACAAACACAAGTTTCTCAATTGTATTTTTTTTCTCTGATTTTGACTTATTTTAACCCATGTGAAGTGGGTTTTAAATTTTGATGATAAAAAACAGGTTTTTCCATGATGATACCGCAAACAATCACACACGATGGGAAATTACTGGAGTTTCATTAGATGTTTTCAAATAGTTACAAAAAGTTTTTTTACCTGAAATTGAATTCTAGTGGGGAGAAGGGAGTAGCGTACAATGCACTAGTGCAAACTATACAAGGCCGATTAAGGTACTTTTGAACATCCATTCAATAGGAGAGTTTGATAACCACATGGTTGTTCCAGTATTAGTAACAAAATGCCCATGTTAAACATTATAAACTTAAACCAAATAAATAAGCAAATAAGAAATGAAAATATTCAAATAGAAGAAAACATGATAACAAACCATTTGCATTACTTTCATTTCATAAACTAGGTTGTAATATGGCTTGTTTATCTTACCTCCTATACATTTCTAGGAATATGATTGGTTAAAAGCAACCGTGTGGAGACCGTGTATATTTAATATGGGGTTAGTAGGCGTGGTTTATTTCAATACACTGTTAGTAGTGGTGTTACGTCCCTTTGTAAAAACAACACGGTGTTGAGGAAAAATCTGAATGGTTTCAACAGACGAAGAAATTGATGATGAACGATTGAAATGAATTCATAAAACACATTTAAAGCTAACAAATTGTAATTGTTGGCATTTGGTTTTGTATAGACCAACGGAAGTAGGTTCTTAATACTAAGTATTGAAGATTTTATCACTTTGATAGGCCACTAGTCTAAATACCACATGTTAAGATAGTCGGTACGATAAATTTGTTACACAGTGTGCTAGTGCCCTAATACGATATATATGGGGTCAGTGAATTCCATATGGGGATTCGAGCTTTGCTCTCACCCCATATAGAATTTACTGACCCCATATATATCGTATTAGGTCACTAGCACACTATGTAACCAATATTATTTGAATTGTCCATATCCAGATAGAAGAATCAGATTGTCTGTTTGACATATTTTTTTTCTCATATAGAGAATGAGATGATACATGAATAGCTTTGATATACTTAATTAGGCATCAACAAAAGGCATGAAATCAGTTGATTATCCAAAAAGGTTAAGAAGAGGGACAACAGAGATAATAGTTTGGGTGTAATGGGTCAAGGAATCAGGTTAGGGATAATGGCAGTGGGAATTTGAGGAGGGGAATTACTAGCATGTCTAAATAATTAAGATCATGTCAAGGTTAAACCAGATAATTATATCCTAGGAACATAAGCTTCTACTAAAAAAATACTAGCACACATGTCTTCTCCATTAACATTAAATGCATTTTTACAGGAAAGAAATCTCGAACGGGTGATGCAAGTCTTAATTCTTTTGATGAAGACAATGGAAATACAGACACAGATTCTGATGATTTTTGTCCATCACTGGACCCTGAAGCTACAGCTGCCCTTGCTAGAGCCATTACTGACAGTGAAGATGAGAGTAATGGTACCCCATCCATTAACACACCCATGTTGTCTAAAGAACATTCATTTAGTGATGGTAATTATATAAATTAAATATTGTATTGTGTGTTTTAATAGAAAAAGAACATAATGAAAGAAAACCCATTTTTTTTTCTGATGATATTAAGTGATTTGTTTCTTCTTTCTTCATTATGGATTAAACTTCATTTTCTTGATATCAAAAGGAATGATTAATTATCAACATCATGATATTGATACACCTTGGTATTTTTCCAGAGGACAAACTTTAGTGCTCCAGTGTTTCCGACTCAGCTTTTGCTGGGTTTACTTATGTGGACCTCGAGTGAAGGAAAAAATAATAAAAATCATAATGGAAGTGCATATATTTTGCTGCTTTGAATATTACAGATAGACTGGTTCATTTAAAATATACAACATAAAATAAAGAAAATTGACATATACTACAGCTAGGCGCATCACTTGTACAAAGTTTAATAAAACATTTCTGTTACCACTCAGTTCAGGAAAGTCTACATAGAGCATTAAAATTCTCAGCAAGCTCTGTGCTTTGTCAACTATTTATCTGAGCAAACAGTATGTCAGCATTTTGATATGAAGTTATCAAGTTCATAAATATTTTCACCTAGTACATGTACTTTCACTTGGTGATACAAAACATAAAGAACCTCTTTTAGAGAATCCCCCATCTGATGCATGTGTTCTGCTATTTATACTTCAGGGTTCTGGTGACGTAATACAAAAGTAATTTATAAAAACGAACAGGAACCTACAGTGTAACATTTGACATGATACAATCAAAATAAATATAGAGAAACTGGAAAATTAACTATAACTCTCAAACCTAAAGTCTCTAATAGATATAAATAAGTCATTTACTAATGTTATGTCCAGTTAAACCATTCTGTCTCTGAAATCTTGATATAGCTCAGCATCTGCATGAATCAAGTGTGGAACAAAGGTCACTGTGAAAATATAATTTCCCTTGTTTAAAACCATGGTATCAATATAAACTGCCAAGTCAATGGGGCGTAATAATAATCCTCTAATTCTTAGCCAATATATACATTCTCCTTTATAATTAACGTGAGGTTTGTTTGATCTCAGTTCTTCATTGGCCAAAATTCAATATGAAAAATTTTTGTTTCCTCTAATTTAAATTTGATATTGTGAAATAACACTTGATGAAATTATGTAGATCATCGAAAATGAAAGATTAAGTTTGCCACCATATCGTCAAAATTTTTTAGAGAAGAAGATTCCATCACAGAATTTACATATTTTGTAATACAGTATGATATTTCTCAACTCAAAACAGTTGAATTTGAAATATTCAAAATGCTGGGAAGCCAATTGTTTAAAAATTTCAAATTTACTCTGTCTCCAGTGGAGAAATATTGTATCACACTCGATGCAGTGGTGGAATCTCTATGTATATGAATTACTATTTATGTTTTTCTCCAGCATATTCTAATCTACATGTGTATGAATAAAATATTTGTATGATTTGTACATCAAGAAATTTATCTTTACCACTGATTTTTTTTTAATAGATCATGACAAGAGGTACTTTGTTGAATTTTTAATTAAAAAAAATGCTGGTTTACAATAGAAGATAGTAGGAAAGGGTCAATTAGTCTATTGATTTTGAGGTCAATGGGTAAAAGCCAAGGTTACAAAAATAGTCAGTTATACATGTATGAATTCTTCAAAACTTTGTTTCTGACTATGGCTTTTTATTTTTCAGGAGTAGTAGTATAAGACTTGTACCTCCAGGTCCTGATTGGTTAGCCCGGGTCAGGGGAATCCCTGCTCAATTTTTATGATGCAGGACCCTAAAATATGTTTCTATATATCATATAGGGTTTCTAGCAATCATTTAAAGCACATATCTGCTTTATATAGATTGAAATTTTACTTTAAAACTTGATATCTTAATGAAATCTCTTAAAAATAAAACTTTAATTTTTATTTTCAGAAATATTATTTGGCATGCACCAATGAAACTATGTAGGTCAGTCTTGGTCAGGGAAACCCTGCCCAATTTTTATATGCCCGTTTACGGGACGTATTATGGTATACCGTTGTCTGTCGGTCCGTCTGTCGTCAACATGTCAGACATTAATTCAAAAACACTTTAACCAATATGCATGAAACTTTAGTAAATTGTTTATATCTATTGATGTGAGCTCCCTTTCGTTTTTTAAAAATTGCGAATTTACTGTTTCCAAGTTTTGGGGTTTTATTCATTAAAAAAGGGGGGATTTTCCAGTTTTCGGACAAAAACTCGAAAACGATTTCACCAATTTGCATGAAACTTTTGTGAATTGTTTATATCTATTGACATGAGCTCCCTTTCGTTTTTTATAAATTTCAGATTTACCGTTTCCGAGTTTTGGGGTTTTATTCATCAAAAAAGGGGGGATTTCCCAGTTTTCGGACAATAACTCAAAAAGAATTTCACCTATTTGCAAGAAACTTTGGTGAATTGTTTATTTCTATCGACATGAGCTCCCTTTTGATTTTTATAAATTTTAGACTATACGTTTCCGATTTATGTTTTTTTTTTTCATTACAAAAAGGGCGATTTTCCAGTTTTCAGACAATAATTCAAAAATGCTGAAAGCATTTTTTATGAAATTTTGGTAAATTGTTTATATCTATTGATGTAAGCTCCCTTTTGATTTTTATAAGTTTTCGATTTTACATTTCCGAGTTATAAGATTTTATTTGTTTATAGTCTGACAACAGATTTACTAAGTATTGCGCAACAGCACAGTGTATTGCACAACAACACAGTGTATTGTACAACAGCAAGAAATCTTTAATTGAATATAAATTTAATTCATATAACCAATTTCAAGTTCTTTGACTACATTTATTCAGAAACCTATAATATGTCAAATATTTAATTACAATCCAAATTCAGACCTGTATCAAGCTTGAATATTGTGTCCATTTTTGCTCCAACTGTTCAGGGTTGGACCTCTGCGGGCGTATCCAGCTGCACTCAGCGAAGCAGTTTATTTAAGGGTGTACTCCAAAAGGGGTATTCTGCATAGTAGCAACAACTTTGGTTTCTAAATTGCTTTGACTTTTTATATTTTTCGCATTCTTATTGGATATGTATGGGTCTCACCAATTAATGTGTGGTTGTGGTTGCATAGATTAGCTTTGTCAACTTTAAATTTGTTTACAATTTCAAACTATTTACAATGTAGTACATTTTATGGTTTTTCAGATCATGATGAGGATTTTACACCAGATCTTGACAATCTACCTTCAATTGGTTATTTAGATGACACAGACGATGAAATTTTAGATCCACCACTTCCAAAATATAAAAATTCAGACAATAACTCAAATGGACAAGAAACAATGAAGTTTTATCCATCACATTTTGGGGACAGTTCTGAAGATGAAGATGAAACTTTAACCAGAGATCTGAAGTTTCCTGACATTCATGAAGTACAATCACCTGAACCTAGTCAACCTGTTGCTACGCAACAGGATGCAGGTATGGCTTTACTTGCTTCAACCATTGTGTCACAAACATTCTCCTCCATGATGCAGTCAGCAATGTCAGGTTTTAACAAAATGGCAGCAACATCTTCAAATGGCAGCAAATCAAGTAAAGTGACATATGTGAAAGACGAATCAGACATAGATATACTATCAGGAGACAGAAGTGACTCATCACCAAGGCGTCAGTCATCTGACAGTGATGTTGACATTGCAGATGAATTTGAATTTCTTGAGCAGTATGATGTAGATGATACAGATAAGACTAAATAACTGAGCATGGAGTTTTGTATTGTTGATCGTTCATCTTCAATGCTTTTAGTTTTATTTAACAAACAGTATTTTAAAAAATACTGTTGCAAGCGAAATTTGTGATTTTTTGTATTATCTGACATTTTTATACGGTCGTAAATTGGTATGACAATCGGCGTCATCATCGTTGTCCGAAGACACATTGGTTTTCGCACAATAACTTTAGTTTAAGTGAATGGATCTCTATGAAATTTTACCATAATGTTCAATACCACAAAAGGAAGGTTGGGATTGATTTTTGGGGTTATGGTACCAATAGTTATGGAATTAGGGGCCAAAAATAAGCATTTTTGTACCTTCCAGACAATAACTTGTATTTAAGTGTATGGATCTCTCTGAAATTATACCACAAGTTTCCATACCACAAAGGGATGGTAAGGATTGGCTTTGGGGGGTTATGGCTCAAACCATTTAAGAATTAGGGGCAAAAAAGGGGAAGAAACAAGGGTTTCCTGGTTAATGGACAATTTAAAAGCAGTGTAAGGGAGGTAATCCAAAAACAAAATTGTACAATGTTGTACAATGTTGGATTACCTCCCTTACACTGCTTTTAAATTATCTATTTAAGACTTTTATGATGTATTAAAATTGGTAATTATGGTTCCAATACCATTGGAAATTTGAATCGAGATTATGACCATATATTGAGGGAAAGAATTTTTTTTTGGAAAAGGGGGTGGAGGGGAGGGGGTTAAAAAGAAATTGTGGGGGTAATTTTTTTTTCATTTCAGATGTCAGAGATTAAAAAGAAAATTTCTTCAAATATTTTTTTTTTGCAAAAAAAAAAGGGGGGGGGGGTTAAAAATGTTTTCTTTTTATTTTTTTTGGGGGGGGTCAATATGCAACAGCATAGTGTGTTTCACAAAAGCAAAAAAAAGGGGGGGAAATTTTTTGTTGTTGTTGGGGGGGGGTCAATTCGCAACAGCATAGTGTATTGCACAAAAGCAAAAAATTGAATATAAATTCAATTCATATAACCAATTCTAAGTTCTTTGACTACAGTTATTCGGTGTCAGAAACCTATTATGTGTCAAATATTTAATTACAATCCAAATTCAGACCTGTATCAAGTGCGAATATTGTGTCCATTTTCGCCCCAACTGTTCAGGGTTGGACCTATGCGGTCGTATCCAGGTGCGCTCAGCAAAGTATTTTATTAAACATTTGTTTACAGTGGAAAAGGGTCATGGTATGCCATCACTAGGCAGCAGTGTTATTTTATTGGTTTAATTGCTGGCCAATTACAACTTAACATGGGTTATAAAGTATAGGTACTGTTTTCTCTAAATATAATATACGTTTTTAATCAGGCAAAATTATAGGTTGTATTCCTGAAGATTTTGTTTGTCAACTGACCCTCTCCCTTATGTTCAAAATAGAAATTTCTACCAAAATGCAAATAGAAAAATTCAAGAAATGTGTATGGTCCACCTTCAATAGTAGGGGGTATTATGTATTCTGGTCTGTTCGTCTATCCTTTGTTAGTTAGTTCCTGTATCTGTGTTAGTCTGTTACAAGTTCAAGTTGTATTAAGGCAGTTTACCACAAATCTGTAGTCACATTAACTTTAAACTTAGTACACATGTTAATTATGATGTGAGTTTTAATTTTTTTTTAAATATATGCCTTATTGTGGTTTAATCACAGATTTCATTGTTCATTGAACATGAAATGTAATACAGAGGTATTTCTTTTATTCTGACGGCAGCAATGAACCTTATAACAATTTGGCTATCTTCAATATGTTGACCCTATTTTCTTCATGGATTCAAAGAACCCAATCAAAAGGAAATATATTTATCAACAACATATCAAGTTTTAAGAAAATCTATGCATTGGTAATTGGAGACTTGATGACTTTAAGACAAATTTAAGAACCTTTTTACTGCTTTTAAGTGTGTTCTTTACAAATGTTCACCTACTTTGAAGGATAAGTATAGTAATAATTAAGAAAATAAAAGAACTAAATGTATTATTTTTTTAATTTTGAGTTTAAGTTTAACATTTCCCAGCTGTATGAAATAAATCTGTGACATGACACATTTACTGTTACTTGACATTAAAACAACATTACTATACTGCAGCAGGTGTCATATATTATAGTTCCATATCATAGAATAATGTGGTTAAAAACTTAGTGCAGAACCCATAGAGGAGTACACTATGTCTTCAACCAAAGTAACTATATCCCATAGTCAACACAACATTATTCTCATTATACATGTTATACTGACTGTCAATTTATAAATAAACCAATATAAACATTATCTCCAAATATCAAGTATTTGTACTACATGTATAGCATGAACTGAAGATACCATCTTAAATTCTTATAATAAGCGGATATCAACGATAAAGAAATAACTTTTACGCTAACAACATATGTACTGACTTTCAGACAATGGAAATGGCTGATCCCAAAATAATTTATTTATCTGCCAAAATAAAGAATTTTGAAAATTGTCAAAGAACATTGCAGAAAGTATAATAATTCTAATGAACAAACAGGATATAAATAATCTAAATTATATTTGTTCATACTTTTAGATCACAATTACAAAAATCAGCTTTAAGTAGGCTTTTTCAAATTTGTGTGGTCTAATGTCTGTTTTTTTTAAGATTGAGTAAAGTGTCATTGACACTAGCGTTGTACCTTGTATTTTTACACTAAACAATCGACCACACATTACAACAACCATAAGAATAGTTGATTTGTTGAAACATATTAAATTAAGTATCAAGGTAAAGCATATTAGCCTACTATTTCACATAGTTCACAGGTTAATGAATGTTCTAGTGGTCTTTCTGGTCCTATAGCTGTGTTTCCGTACAATAACATTTCTTTGATTATTGTTATAGTTGTCGAACTATTTACTACTTGAAGAAATTGAATAGTAGATAACAGCTTGAAAGTGGATCTCATTTAACAATGTTTATTCTAAAACAAATGCAGTGAATCTGTCACAATTGACAATTTCATTGAACAATTGTTAATTTACAAGATGAATTAAGTGAACCTGCCACACCTAAAAATTAAAATTTGTTGTTTTCATTCTTACTAAAATGATTTGGAATGTTATACGCTATTTTTTAGCATCAAAATGTTTGTTTTTATTTTTTATAAAAGTGTCTAATCAATCAAATAACCATTTGAACAAAAATGCTAATATCAATTGTCTTCATATTGGAGAAATTGCCCTTTTAAGATAATTTTAATCTGTATTTGGGATTCCCTATTATCTGAGAAAATGAAATGGATTGATAGAAAATGTAACAACAAAATTTATTAGCAAAACAAGATCTACCAAACTATTTCAAGAATTGAAACCTTCAATTGAATCCCAATAGTAGTTATTGTCCTTAATTTTTAGATTTTTGCCTTTTTGACTATTATCTTTAAAACTATAATAGATAGACAGAAGCCATAAACAGCAAAAGTGATCAGTTATACAAGATCTACAAAAGTGATAATTAATTGAAACCATTTGTTGACTCATTATATTAGCTTATTATCATATTTTTGCCAGATGAGCATTTTCAAACTCTTAGGAGCTTAAAGTTGTTGATTGTTAACCCATACATGTGAAACAAATTATTTTTGAATGAAGCAAGCATAGAGTAATTTTATAAATAGTTGCAAAATATCATTAAAGAGAATACAATGAGTAATTGTTTGTGTACTTTGTTATCACTAGTTATTGATATAAACTAACAAGACCGTATGCACAATTGTTATTATTAAGAATGTTGATTCATTTAGATCCTAGATTTCTATATATTTCTAATTTATTACTTTTGTTATGTCTTTTTATTCTAAATTTTGCTATGTACAAAGTAAACAGGCAACAGGTGCTATTATAATATTGTAATACACTGTATTGAAGGACAAATTTCTAGATCACATGGTCAAGATATGTTTGTTTGTGCAGAATTTACAAGTGGATTTGTTTATAGTCATAACTAACTCATGGACAAATCACATTGTTTTTTGCTTTGAGATAAGGGGAGATAATTTTATTGACCTGATATAAGTGCAAAATAGGAAAAGCCAATAAATTTCTTTCAGAATCCTTATTCCTTGTTAACAACTGTCAGTGTTTGTATATAATCAAGACACTAGATTGAAGAGATGTAAATGATTTATTAATCACTACAATCTAGTGTCTTAATCGTAGACAAACATACAGACACAATCCAGCCAGCACTTTAGAAACTAAACTTATGTTAATTTTGAAAATATGTGCAAAGTAAGATTCATTTTTAAAAATTTTAAACTATGATAGTATTTTGAAAATTTGATCAAAACAGGTTAAAATGTCCAATTATTTTAGTTAAAGAAGATTTTCACTAAGTGCATCATTTGTAACGTCAAAAATGGAGATGATTTTCTTTTTTAACCTGTTTTATTGAATAATTCAGTAAAATTTTTCATAGTTGTCTGAAAATTAACAGTAGTGCCACCCCTCGCTGACAAATAATGTTGAAGTGGTGGTGTAGTTTGTTTTTTGAAGATTATGAGGCATAAGTTAGAGAACTTTCTTTCATTATATATTTAAATATTTATATTTTACTTCTCTTACTTATAAATATTTGATGATTGTTGTAGACAGCATAGTGACATTAGATTGTCAGCTCTTCTGTAAGTCTTTGGTGAATAGATGTCTTTTAAGCATTTAAAAATAGACCATTATTTTATCGAGAATGCATTCAATCGATGATAAAAATGGGATAAATGTAAAGTCAAAGCGAAAAAAACATCCATCTACTTACCTGTTTTCCAGAAAAGTGATAACTCTTTTGTAAAAATATTAAAATTTTGTCTCAAACAGATGTTTCAGCAAGATCATCCAAGCATTCCTTTGCACTGATTAGCCTTTTTTTACAGTGCAACTGGAAATAGTTCACTGCACTCATTTTTTTCTTCAAACTTTCAATTTGTGCTTCAATGTAAATTGATTATTGACAAAAAACTTAATTTAAGATTACTTAGTTTTAGCCATGTTATATTTTGCCATCACTTTGCTTCTTTTAAATCCATGCTGTTGTCTGATCCATTTTTTAACTCCCACAAACTGCTTTGAAATATGATACCCAACTAATAATCAGTTTTTGTAATTATCATTGTGATCAGATGTTAAACATGACTGCCATACAATGGGCAAAAGTATGAAAATATGCTGAAAATTTGCTTTGTAATTTGGTTGAAATGTTATAGATTTCTTAGCTGTTCTCAAATAATTCTTCCTAATTATGTTATGTACACTTTAGATATTTTTTGTTCGGAGACCTTACAATATGGCTACTAGTGGAAAAAATTCAATACCATATAAGTATGAAGCCATCTTTTGAGAGCTTCTAAACCAAAAATTATTAATATATGACAGAAAGGCTCAATATGAGGAGCAGACATGTATTTTGACACTGATTGGATGCACAATATTGTCACTTACTAAGGACTTATAGTTTATTAGAAATAGAAAGAAAAATCTTCATCTTTAGAACCCTTGTACCAATTAAATCAAATATGAAAAAAGTATCTTTGTGCAATACTTGTGGAGTGTCAATACTTGTAATTGATGTTAATCAGCTGACCAATTTTGCCAATGAAATATATTTTTCTTTCAAAAAGATGGGACATATTTGTGACAATATTTTCTTTTAAAAACTTATTCAA